TCTTGACTCACTCATCACATTCATCTAATCTTCAAACTTCTCCTCTTCACATTCAAAGGTTTGGTCAAAACTCATAAACACCATTAACACCCACTTCACCGTAAATACCCCATCAAAGCTTCTCTCCACTCATTCTGAATCTAAACTTCATCTTCTCTCTGTCAAAATCCTAGAAGCTCAAAAACTTCATCAATGGCTCCAAATAGACAAGACAAAGGAAAAACAAAATGGGTGAAACCTCCAAATCTGCAGAAGTTGTGCAACAACCTACAGTGAAGTCAAGGAGGCTCAATTTCAATACTCGAAATCGACATGTAATTCCGGTAAAGTATGTGAATCTCAACTCTTTCCCTTCTCACAGTTTTAACTTTCCAAAATTTATTAAGAAACAAGGTTTAGAGAAAACGGTTAGCGATGTTGGACCGGTTTATCCGAATTTCGTAAAAGAATTTTTCTCTACTCTTGTGATTGGATATAATGAGGAAGGAAATTATGGGTTGGAAGTTGAGGTTAAAGGAGAATTTGTTAGTGTAACTGTAGAACAATTAGGTCTGGTTTTAGAAGTTCCATCTATAGGTGCTATGTTAAGAATGGATTTCAATTAGAAGAAGCTCCATGGGATAAGTTCAATACTAGAAGCAAGTTATGTTCTACTCCAAAGGGAACCTCATATAAAAATGACATCCAAGGCAAACGAGATTAATGCTTCGAAGGCAATCAAAAATACCAGAATCATCTTGAATAACAACAGGAGATATGTATACAAAAATGATTCTTCTTCATCTGTTGCTACTGTTCCGGCTCCTGAGGAGGGTTACACAAATGAGCTTAGTTAAAAAAAGCTTGTGGCTTTTGACTCCAAAGTTGATCTTAGCATGAGGGAGTATCAAAAAGGAATGACTTTAATGCGAAAGATATTTAAAGCTATGACTGTGCAGCAACAACAAGTAATGGAACAAGATGATGATGAAGAAGAAGAAAATGATGATGATGGCGATGATGATGATGATGAAGACATGTCAGAAAGTGATTAATTATGTTTGTTCATTTATGTTTAAAACTTCATTTTTATGTTTTCATGTTTTATGTTTCATGTTGGAAAAATCACGTACAATAGTGTGTTCGTACAATTTTATGTTTGTTTTCGTTCAAGTATCGTGGTTGTTTCGTAAAAGTGTTGTTTGTGTTATTTCGTATCGTGAAGTTTTCACATCTATGTTTTTATGTAATCTATCCAAATTGTTGTGTGTTTCTTTTCCCATCCTTTTTGTTGTTGACAAAGGGGGAGAAGAAATACATTATTCTTGTGCTTTCTACCAAAATTGTGCAGAAATATCAAATACTCTCTTAAATCAACGATTAAGGGGGAGCATTATCCAAGGGGGAACTTTCGAGCCATTGTTAGAAAAACTGGTGGAAAAGTAATTTTTCAAGCAGAGGTTGTCATCATCAAAAAGGGGGAGACTGTGAAGACAAGCTTCTCAACTGATTTAGATAACGACATAATCCACAACATGCAAGGATGGTTTTCAAGACTTCATGATTATATCAAGCTCAAGCAATTCTCTTTCAATTCAATGTATCAAAGTTTGATCAAGAAAGAAGATAAAGTTTGACACAATGGAGGTACAACAATTTAAGCATTTATATACCTTATTCAAGTGTTCAAACTTCATCTCCTTCTTGCATTGCATAAAAGAACCTTTTAACATAAAACTATGCACTTTGCCTTATTTTTTGGAAAAATTGGTTTCTGGAAATTGTCATTGAGTAACCGGTTACCCAATCCTGGTAACTGATTACTTGCTGCAATTTTTGAAAATTTGTTTCTGTTAAAGGCAGGTAACTGGTTACCCACTTATGGTAACCGATTACCACTGGCGTGTAGGCCAGAAAATTGTATCTCTTGGTTTGAAAATTGTTTTCTTCTTCTTCTTCTTGAACCATGACATATTTTGATCATTATAGCCATTCTGAAAAGGTGTTAAGAGGCATATATAAACCTCTAAACTCAGATTTTAAAATCACCTTCTTGCATAAAATTTTCAAATATTTTCATCTCTCACTTTTCATATTTTTCAAGTGTCGAAATTCTGAAATTTTTCATAGAGTGAAACTTGCATTCTAAAATTTTCAGAAATTCATATAAGTTTCTTTCTCTTATTTTTGAAAATTTGATAAGTTATATAGAGGTGGAAAATCAAGAGGAAGATCAATCGAAATATTGATAAATTTGAAGACATTTTCAATACCATTCAGATAAGTTACTCAAATAACTTTTTATTACATTCTTAAGTGTTCCAGGATTGTTGGAATTAAGATTGTAAGGATTGTTACCTTGCTGTCCAGGATTGTTGGAAGCAAGAGGTCCACATTGAGAGGATTGTTCTCATTGGACTTAGTTGAAAAATCCACATAGGCAGAATTAACCAGAACAAATGAAATCGAGTTTTTCCTGGTCCTATGATTGAGCATGGCATGAAAATATTTCGTATTTTGATCGCCATCTTAGATCCATTTAACTTTCAATTTTTGTTTAATGATGCTTTCTCTAATATGAGCTAATATGAGCTTACCCTCTCCTATTAATCTCTGAATCTAAAACAACTTCTGAATCTATGGCCAGGCAGTCTTCAAAGTTATTGATGATATCTATCTCATGCTCCATGTTAAGATCAAGTCTTCTAAATATATGTTTGTTCCACCATTTGAGTTTGGCTTTAAGCATTCTGAATTTATTCGAAAGTATGAATGCAACACTGCCTTCAACCGATAGTGAATTCCAAACTGATTTGACAAAAGCCATAAAATCCTCATGTTCAAACCAACAATTGAAGACTTAAAGGGTTTAGGTCCCCAATTCACATTTCTAGCCTTGAGCCATACGAGTCTATGATCTGAAACTTCTTTGTTACCAACTATTTTCAAAGCAGTGTTCCAATCCTTCAAAAGATCATTCGAGATTAAAAACCTGTCCAGGCGACTATGATTTTTCCATTCAAGCAAAACCACGTAAACTTGTTTCCTGACGTAGGGAGATCAACCAAATTCGTCAGATCAATGAATGATCTAAAATTGTCCATTTCTGCTCTCGAGTGTGCTTGTTTGCTACTGCTCTCTTCCGAATTTTTAATTGCGTTGAAATCGCCTCTAAGAAGCCAATCCCCCGGTTCCAAACTAGCCTTGTATTTCATAATTTCAGACCACATGTTTCTCTTTTCCAACAAGTTACAAGATGAATAAAATATTTACAATGTAAATGTGTCTTCTTTTCCATAGTGCAAACAGACCCAAAAACCCCTCCCCTCTAAAGCGGGATATGGGAGAAAGGGACTCTTTTATCCAAACCATCAACAAGCCACCTGATTGTCAAGATGAATTGGTTGTTGACCATTCAAAATCAGTTTGACCCCACAAACTACGAACCGTACTATCTAACATATTCTTGCATTTTATTTCTTCGAGTAGGCATATATCAACATTTCCACTAGTAATTGTTTTTCTGATTCTATTACGTTTTGTGCTACCTCCACATCCTCTAATGTTATAAGTGATAAAATTCATTTACCTGGTTATGCAACCCTCTTCTGAATATGTAGTCTATCATTGTTCTCCCAGTTCTTGATTATACTTTCAAAGACCTCTTCATCTTCATCTTCTTCAATCCCTAACCTTTTAATTGATTCCCATATTTTGCACAAAGCTCCTTCAATTTTCCTCAGTATGTGAGAATTACTCTGGTTTACATCAGAATCTCTAATTGAATCGCAACATAAAACCAAATCTCCAGAGTAATGAGATATTGAATCCTTAACAAATGAACTAATAGGACTAGGATCTGGTCTTGATGGAAGAGATGGACTAATTTCAGGTTCTGATATTGGTTTCTCAGCTAAAGCAAGTATTGAGAAGTATGAGGGTGAAAAAGGTATAATTAACTTCTCATAAATGTTAAGAAGTGATTTCTTCTTCCTGGGCTTAGGTATAAGTTTTGGTCCATCTCCAATCAGATCCACAATCATGTTGGAGTTTATTTTTAGCCCATCATCCAGTCTGTATGATCTGTTCACCCGATCCAAATTTTGACTTTAAAAATTGCAGGGTCCCACCTCCACAATTGCAGTATCATCCACCTTCACTTTCTTTGACCTGGTGGATGTAATGTGTTGACACATCAAATCCACAAACTTTTCTTCTCTGCCACACTTTTTTTATTAGCATTCAAGTTCTTAGGTATAGCTCCTATAGCAGACCTACGTGTCACATCTCCATCCTCCGTGTGAGATCCTAAGTCGTTGTTTTCAATGTCAAATTCCTTGGAATTCCCATCTTTCTCATCATCCTCAACCGTATTCTCCGGAAATAAACCGCCGTCATCCTTCAATTCATTTTCTAATGAGTCGTCGAATTCATCATCGTCTCCGCCGCTATAAGAACTGGAAATCATTTCTGATCCAAATTTTTTTCTCCATTTCAAAGGATCAATTCTTAGAGGTCCATGAGAGTCTTCAATTAATTTGATGTTGTATATCCTTTTGTTAACTTCCACATTAAGCACTTCGTTCAAATTAATGGCGAATTTGGTTCTAACTAAGAATCTGGAAACATCCATTCTTTTGAGACTCTTTGTTTCTTCATCTGAGCGAATGAACACACCAATTCCACCTGCAAGGAACCTAAAAAAGTTGAAGGACCAAACGTGACAAGGAAGGCCATAACACCACATCCAGGTGAGTCTCTTGTTATCCACGCCAGAAGGAGACCACAGATGAATCTCGGAGAACCAATGGGATACCCATTTCACCTCTTCCTTGATCAGATTCGTGATCTCGCCCTCAATCTTCTCGTCTAGTAGGCAAGGATTGGCACCTAAAGGAGTTGCTTTAATCTGGAAATAATTTTCAGCAAGTAATCCATCTTGAATGTTATATGTTGATCCTGGTTCTTCCACAACGCCGATGAACGCTTTCTCAAATCTCATAATATCTTCTTTATTAACATTAAAAAATTAAATGTGCAAATGATGGTTTTGCATTAAGGTAGTTTTCTTTACTTTCATATGTCTTCCATTCCAGATTGTTTTGTTTACCCTTTCTACCTCCTCCCACAACTTGAGCGAAAGAAACATCAGGTCTAATGTTCTGTCTCGACATATCTCCCATGTGCCTGTTATTTTTGTTGTCAGAGTTCACCATATTCTTTGAAGGTTGAAAGTTCTTATCATTTCTTGACCATGCATTTCTTCTTTGAAACCATGGTATATTAGCATGTACTTTCCTACCATTGATCATGATGTTATCTAGTTTAATAGCCATCATCCTACTATCCTCAATGTTTCTGAAGCGAACAAAACTAAATATTTTCCCCCTCTTATCTCTCTTTGATGGTATTATCACCTCCAAAACTAGGTAATACTCTTTGAAGATATCAAACGTCTCTCTGGCCTCGTGATCATCCAGAAATTCAGTGAAGAAAAAGGAGGCGATTTTACTTCCGACCTCCATGGTGTCTTTGCCCCCTCTAGTGTCCAAATCGATCTTCTGGAGATATTACCAATTCTTATTCTTCCCCCTCCTGATTTTCACCCATTCATGAGTATGGGTCATATTTCTACTAGACCACCCCAAAATATCAGACAATGCAACAGAAGCTTAAGAGGAGCACCACCGATTATCAAGGCCCCTAGCCCTAAGGCTAGGAGTTTAAGCTAAAAATAAGGATGGAGATCCACTAAACCATGTCTCCCATTATGTAAATGACAGAGAAAAAAATTAGATGAATGAAGTTGAAGTCTTCTGTTAAACTAGATGAATCCCGGGTCGGAGGCTACCCTGAATCTTATTCGATTTATATCTCTTGAGTGTTTTTTTTTGTCTTCAGGTCACTATATGCACCTCAACTTGTACAACTCATTCTTCAAACAAAAACCAAGTTCAATGTTGACATTTACAGATTGAAAATCCTCTTTTTGAAATTAGCACACATTTCAACTCCATTGTTGATTTTTTCTGGTCGCATGGATAAATATCAGAGTCAACATATGAGAAGTTAAAAACAATATGTAGCTTTTCCAACATCAAAAGACAATTTCAAACTGAGAATTTTAGTACAAGTTGCTTAGAAGTAAATCTAAACACTACCAAATGTGTTACCGCATACAATAATTTCAAATTTTCAATCAGTTAAAAAACACATTCCACGACTAGATTTCATATTCACGATTTTAAAAATACTCGTAATTGGTGTGAAATGTCAAATTTAAATTGTGAAATGTTATGGAAGAATCTATCATCACATGATCCAATATATTAATTTGGTGAAATGTTAGCTTTGGATTTTGCCGACGTCAATGATCCAAACAACTCTAATCTTGTCGAAAATAACAAAGATGCGTCCTATTTAGACATGCATTTTGTATCATATTTAATCAACGAAATTATGGTCGATTAAATAAATTTCACTATAGATCCGTAATATCCATAAAATATGTGAGATTTGGTGAAAATGAAAAAAGATTGAACTGCTTAGAATACTTGTAGTGAAATTGAAACTTGGTGGAGATTGGAAAAGTAGTGTCTCCGGTGGTTATGAAAGGATTGCACGAGAATATAGGTAATGGTTTATAATTTGTGTATATAAATTTTAAAACATAACATAGTTTTGAATATCATTGGTTTATTACATGAGAATATCAACACCCAATTAAATTCAAAAGATATCAGAAAATTTACCAAATAGGTAACTAAATAAAACTATTTTTATTAATATATCATTATCATATATAGTATAATTTATAGAATAATTAATGTATTTAAAATATAATGTTTATTCAATAAATTAAAAAAATACATTTTAGATTGGAGAAGAGAGTAAATCTTTAAAGATATTTAGATATAAGAAGAATTAAATAAAACAAAAATAAAATAATAAATTTAATTTAATTGCATTATTAATAAAATATCACAGAAATTTAAAACTACAAATAATTATGACTGTTCAAATCTTTTAACTAATGAAAAACATTTTACAACGGCATTTTACATTTGAATTTTTTAAAATCACAGTAATTACACACAATTATATAAAAGTTACATAGATGAGAATTCAATAGGGACTGCTAAACACTACACATATAATATCACATACAACTATTACGTTTGAATTGTAACCACCATAGTGAAACAGTAGAATAAGAGTATATGAAATAAAGCTACTGGCAAAAGGATGGTTTATCATAAGTAAACAGAATAATAACGACAAACAGTTAACAGCAAATGGCTGATTAATTAGTCGCTATTTTTTTTTCTTGATTGCTGGACTTCACCAGCTCCATCAATGGCCAGGTGAGTAGAGAGAGACACAGGCATCTTACTCGGGTATATAATCCTCATATTTCTCCTCATCAGTACTTTCACCTGAGCTGGATGGTTTACATGGAAATGATCCAAATTCTTGCCAACAATAATGAAGTGTCACCCCTAATACATGGATCCTTATCATATTTAATCAAAGAAATCACAGTTGATGAAATATTTAAAAATGTTTTCCAAAAATCTATCATGGTTCATGGAATATATCAAAGAAATCACAGTCCATGAACTATGGAGATTACATTTGCTACATGATATGTGTGTATATATGCAATGTATCTATTATTTAATTAGGTAAAAATAGGAATTAATATAATGGATATGACCATTCCATGGTTTGGTAAATTAACTACTATATATTTTGGCTTCAAAACTATTTACAATTTTGGGCTGTTATAAACAAAGTAATATATTATTCTCTTTTTAATATTAATTTATTATTTTATTGGATAGAATAAATTTGAATCCTATTATTTTGTTTTATGTCGAATATATTTAAAAATTATGGACTCGTTAGAATAGTAGCATCCATATCCATTTTCTCTAATAAAATGGTAAGAAATAAAATGAATGAAAAAAAAATTGTTATATTTTTTTAAATGGATTTTAATTAAAAAAGTTTTATAAAATTTAGAAGGATTTAAATAGGTAATTAAATATTTTATGTAAAAATATTGTTAGATCCCAAAAATTACATTTACTCAGATCCAAAGCTTGTTCTTGGTGAGATCTTTCCTCTGATGATGGTTTAAAGTCTTATTCCTCGAAATAGGGACCGAAAATCGGAGGTATCTTGTTTGAGAGCTCTGAATATTTTGAGTATGGGGAGGGGGAGGGGACGACCGAAGAAGGAAAATGTGTTATCTCCCCTGATTCGTACTCTGGAACTAGAGAAAGGTACGAAGAGTTGTAGCACCTCAAGAAGCATTAGAAGTAGTAAACATGAGGGACAAGATGAGGGTGAAGGTGAAAAAGGGGATTCTACAATCCCTGAGTTTGAAACAACTGGTCAACAAGGAAAGGTGAACAATGAAGAAGACCAACCTAAAAAGCTATAGGTGGATGTGATAAGTGGTAACAGGATGACTTCGAATGGAATGGTCATCAAATTCATATCGCTCCTAAATTGGTTGAAGGGAAAATATAAGTGAAAATAGACGTATCTGATGTGGAGTCAGAAGTGAAGTTCTGAGAATCTGAGTTGATAATATATGCCCTAGGTCGGGATCTGAGCATGAACGCAGTGAAGAAATTCATGAGTAAGTTTTGAAATTTTGTGAAGAGGGATATTTCTTGTTGAAATTTCACTTGTTCATTGAATGTGACATGGTTCTTATGAGTGATTCATTCACTATCCAAAATGCTCTAATGGTATTAAAAGAATGGAGCCCAAAATTTAACTTGAAGAGGGATATGTTGCAAACTTTGCCCATTTGGGTGAAACTCCCACAACTCCCTCTACATATGTGGGTTGCAAAGATTCTTGGAAAAATAGGAATTGCGATAGTGAAGCTCTTATGCACGAATGAATGCACTGCCAACAAGTTAAGAGTGTCATATGCCAAAATACTTGTGGAAATTGATGTTACTCAAAACCTCAAGGATTCTATAACCATCAAGGACTATGAGGGAAGGAAGCTCAATCAAATGGTGAAATATGAGTGAAAACCGAAGTATTATGAAAAGTGTCAGAAAGTGAGACATATATGCACCAATGAAAAATCAACTGCTTTCAACTAATGGAAACCCAAAGTGGTTGAAGTCTAGGAGGTCACACAAGTTGAGCAAGAAAGAAAGTATAAAACACACCAAAGGAGAAAGAGGATCAAGTAAGTTCTTCTGGGACTCAAGCATCTTCAAGTTGGAAAAACAAAGGTAAGTCTGTAGTCAAAGAAACTAGTGATGTAGTTAATTGTCATAATGAGTTTAAGACACTTAGGATTTGGAATGATCCAAGTGTTCAAGATGACATGCCATGATCATTTCATGGAATTTTAGAGGAATAAACAATGCAAGGAAACATAGGGAAGTGATTTATTTGATTAATAATGGAAACCCTACATTAGCTATTTTAGTGGAAACTAGAGTTAAGCAGCATAAGGCTTGTTGCACCCCAAAATTTGCCCTCATGTTCTTAACCCTAGATGGTCTGTGCTTCCCATTCATGTGCATCTCTGTTAGGTCATGACATCTGTAATCGAGCATTTCATTAGGCTTATAAGGCATGGGATCAAGGTATCCTGTGCAAGCTAGGGTTTATCTATTCCTGTGAGGCCCTCATTCTCATTCAAAGATAATTCAAATTGCTTCTTCATCATTCATGTTTGGAAATTAGGTGTCATACCCCAAATTTTACCCTTAGATTAGTCGGTTCATTTCACATTTCATCTCATTTTGCATTGCATTGTAAACTAATCGCTAACCAGTTTGCTCAGTTTGTTGGTTTTGCAGGAAAAATCACATTGTGCGCTCTTTAGCTTATGAAGGGCAAAATGGTCATTAATTCGCAAATATTAGATTTATGTGTCTAATTTTTTCTAAAAGAATTCAATATTATATTAATGATATATTTAAAATGTAAATTGTTTTTCAAATCCTTTTATTTATATAATATATATTAAGATGTTTCTTTAGAATTAGAAATAAATCGTATATATATAAAGATTTCTCTATAAAATTGATAAAATAAATTAAAATATTGAAACAGAATAAATAAGTCGTACGACATTGCATATGCATAAGAGATCATATATGACCTTTGTGAAATAATATAGTATACAAATTGAATTTAAATCTATTTGCATCGCACTTCATAAGTGGTAAACTCCCTATGAGATACACTATGAGAAATCTAGGCCCTTAATCTAAATAGAAACTAGTCGATCTTCCACTTTTTATCTGGTGCATACATAGCTTGCCTAGAATAAGTAGCCATATTCTCAAACTTCTCAGCATAAGTAGCCACCGTCATGTTACCCTAATGAAGCTGTTCAATTTCAAACACCTTTTGGGTCCTCAAGGAACTAGGAAAATACTTATTCAAAAAGGTAGTCTTAAAATTTTCCCACACACTAGGAATACCTTGGTTAGGCATCAGAGTTGTAGCACTTTCCCACCATCTCATAGTAAGACCTTTCATCATGTGGGAAGCAAACACCACCTTGTTCTCCTCACTGCAAGGCACTATCAAAAAATTTCTCTCATATATCAAAAACCCATTCATGAGCTTTCACAAGATCTAGCCTGCCATGGAATTCAGGAGGATTAATGCGGAAAAAATCCTAGAAACTTCCACCTGCAGCTTCTGGTGGAGTCACTGGAGGGTGAGGACCTCCATTCAACTATTGCGTCTTCTGCTATATGAATTGATTCTATTATTCTTGCATCTGTTGAACAAACTGAGGCCACTAAACATTCTATCTACCACCTGGTAGATTCCAATCGGGAGTCTGTATTTTGGGTCTACCACAACTTATGCGTCCTTCAACCATGTCCCTAAATGTTATACAAATAGAATCAAGTTGATCAGACTCAATACTATTAATATAACATCCAGAACAATGATGACAACACACATATGAAGCAGAAAGAAATACTTATAATATTTCATGGCTAGGTCAAGGATACGACTTACTCTGATGCCAACTGTAACACCCATATATAATATATGACTAGAATATTTATATCTTACATGGTTGCAAATTTGGTACTGAAATACACAAGTTCCTAGTAACCACTACTCAAAAATGACATTTAACAGCGCATACAAAGACAACGCTTTATGAAAAAGCGCTGCTAAAGAGTCATAAAAAAAAGAAAAAAAATAGCATACCTTAGACAGCGGTTTTTGAAAAGCGCTGCTAAAGGGGTACCCTAAGAAAGCGCTTTATTAAAAGCGCTGCTAAATGTATGCCCTAAGAAAGCGCTTTTGTAAAGCGCTGCTAAAGGAGGGCCCTAAGAAAGCGCTTTTGTAAAGCATTGATGTAGGTGTATCCTACAAGAGCGCTTTCTTTATAAGCGCTGCTATATGTGGTATGAAAGAAAGCGCTTTTAAAAAGCGCTGCTATATGTCATGCCTAAGGCACACCTTAGAGAGCGCTTTTTAAAAGCGCTGCTAAAGGCCATTAAGAAGCGCTGCTATAGGTATTATTAGAATAAATTTAAAATACCCACCAGAATTTTTAAAAGAAACAGAACAGTCGTACCCTTCTTTCCTTCTTTCTCCTCTGGAGAACGTTGCCCTATTCACCACGACCACGGCCGATTCCGTCGTTTCCCTCCGTCCGACAGCCGCCGACCGTCACCCTCCTCCGTTCATTCAGTCTACATTGCATTTCTCCGCCATTTTTCCGTCCGTTTTCGACAGTCTCCGTCCGTTCATTCTGTAGCGCATTTCCACCATTGTTACGGTATTTGATGTTTTTCATTTTTCACTTTTCTGGATTATTGTCTTAGTATTTCATTTTTCTGAATTATTGTTTGATATGATGTTAGTATTACTTCTTTTCTGAGTTGTTGAGCTCTGAAGGTAGTTCTTTCGAATGTGTTGTTTTCTCATTTATCTTCAACTATGAATGATTTGCTTCTCTTGTTTTGCTGTTTAACAATAGTGTCTTAATCTCAGTGTCAGTTTAAATGTTAATTTTCTCATTTATCTTCAACTGTGAAGGATTGTGTTAGAATCTTGTTGACGGAAGAAATCTTTCTATTCTTCTGTTAATTTTCTAGCCAATGGATTTGTGCGTTAGTTGATTTTTTGATTTAATATTGGTGATTTTACTGAAAAATACAACAATATTTACACTGATTTATACTATAAGGAGGCTTTTATGTAGTCTCTGTATCTGTTAGACTATGCATTCACCAAATAGCAATGTTGTTTCAATGAAACATGGTAAAGAACTAGTTTTTTCTCTTGTTGTTGAGGAGGGTTAAATTGTGAGCAAAATTGAGTTTTTGATTTCAAATAAGTTTAGTGCTCTTTGATTTACATATATCAAGCTCTTTTAATAGAGAGAAAATCACAACAACTTTACAATACAACATCACCGCAACACGACCAAGCTAGAACTAGGACCTCTGATCCGCCGAAAGCAAAAACCAGATCCACAAGAAGCAACATCAACTATAGATAATCGGGGAGCCAAGTCAAAAATCTTGATTCACTATTGGATCAGACACACGAAAGGATTCTAAAGCCAAACATTAAAGTATAAAGTGTTAAATAAGAGTTTACAATGTTTCCAACACCAAGCAAAAAAATTATTCAGAATTCAGATGTGGCTTTTGCTACGGTCCAATTGAGTTTCCATTATAATTAGTCAAGGAAATCACGGTTGAATAAAAAATTGATGGATCCATCAAATGCACTATCAAATATTGAAACATTGTTAATGAATCCATCAAAACCTGTATAGGATGTAAAATCATTGTTTTTGATCCTTTAAATCAATTAGCGAAAATTTAAAATCAATGTTAAATGTGGTTTCAGGTATTAGATTAATACATTATGGCACAAAAATAAGTGGCTTTGTTGTAAATGTGATCAACAACAGTACATTTGATTTGGATGAAAGTAATATTTACGCAGAACTGGACTAAGCTTGGATCAAGAAGGAATATGAGAAATATTAGTAGAGGATGAAAAAGAAGCGATTGTGGTTCAAGAAAACATGTAATTTCTAACCTTGCGAATTTAAGAGGATATATATAGATAGTAGCATGAGTGGGAAATTAGGGTTGTGAGAAAAATGGATTGGTGTTGGTATTAGTCTCATGATATTGATATTTTCTAGAAGCATCTAGATGTTGATGAAGTAGTTACTAATTAAATATATTTTAAGATGTTATGTTTAAATTAAAATCAAAATCATTTGTGAAGGTTTTCTTAATATTTAGTTTGGATTTTTGACTTTTACACATTTTAGATATCCAATAAAAAAAACTGTCTTTTAATAAGATGTTGATCCGAATGATACGTCAAATTAAGATAAAGGGTTTTTTATATGTCTTACGTGTATAAAGTGTACGAAGGTCATATGGAACCAAATGGTGTAGA